TGAAGAGATAAAATATATGTAGCCATGAAGCAAAACCAAGATACTATTAAAAAAGCCAAGAAAGAGCTTTTGGGTCTTTTTTGGGGCAGCAGGGAATTTAAAACCATAATAAAAAAAGGCTGTAAAATGAAGGAAATTTTCCAGAAGGTAAAATAAAAAGAGTAAGAAAAAAAGGGGGGGTGGAGTTATAGAATTAAAATATCAATCCTGCATTTTGACTAATAGGAGGTCCAAAAAGAAAGAAAACAGAAAATGAAAGACATAAAAATTATCAAAGAAAAAAAAGAACATGTTTCAGAACTGAAAGACAAGAATCGTCAGATTGCAAAGCCGTCAAGTGTATATATAACCCTTTGAATAAAAAAGACCCACAGCAAGGCACGTTGTGAAACCCTGGAACTTCATAGGGGAAAATATCCTAAAAGCAACACCACTAGTTACATTCAACATATTAATAATCAAAATAGATATCACAAGAACAATTCTGCAAATCTAGAAGCTAGTGGAACAATACTTTGAAATTTTTAATGGATTTAAGCCCAGACTTCTGTACCCAAACTGTTAATTAAGGGTGAAGACAAAGTCCTTTCTAGGAATGCAGGGACTCAAATGACTTCCAGGGCATTATTCCCAAGGAGCCACGAGAGAATGTGTTCCAGCAAAATGAGGAAGAAACCAAGAAAGTAAAAAACACCAGCCATCGACGGCCATGGAGGGAGAACCCAGGCACGGAAAGCAACCAGACCAGATTGGAGCAAGGCTCCAGAAAGCTCCAGAAATGATGTTTCCAGTGGGGGGGGGAAAGTGGAATATATTTAGGCAAATGGGAATTACTGATGGGTATCAAATAGAGGTGTTGGAACAAGTGGAATAAATTAGTGATAGGTTCTTGTACAACCAGGCAGATGGAAAAAAAATGAGGTCACAACTAACTCCAGGAAAAAGAAAAGATTATTTATAAAAAGGAAGATATAGTCACAGCACATTACTTAACTAGTTTGAGTTGAGCAGTATTTGCAAATTCGTAGTAAGATATATACCTACTTTTGATTAATTAATTAAAAGTACATTATAACTATTTGGAGCACTCAAAAAGAGGAAGTGAGAAATGTGTAGGGGAGCAAGAGTTACGCCTTTATTTTCCATGGTAGGAAATCAGAAGATATCTAGAATTTATAAGTAAAGAAATCATTGTATAAATGTGCCCTGCCAATAGTGTTGGGCATTAGTGTTTTGGTAGCAATTTACAAAATACACAGAGGTGTTTTTTTTGCAGGTGCCCTCTCTGTGAAAACCTGGGGCCCAGCCTGTGGCTGTCGGGAACAGAGGCAAACAGTCCCTAATCACTATTTTCAGGTAGAGACCAGCCCAGAGCTCGTCCCACACACTTTTCAGATATGGGAAACTGAATTCTTCTCTTCATTTATAGCCACATATAAGGAGCAAAGCCTTCCCTTTTAAGCTGCTTTTCTCCCAGATTGCTTCCACAAGTTGAAATAGAAAAAGGAAGAGCCAACTGACATTCAGGATACAAACTTCCTCACCGGACCAATGTGTCACCTCCTCATGACTTCTCTGCATGGGGGGATCTTTAAAAAAAATCATCAACAGACAAGTGCATTTCTTCATAAACTACCCTCCATTGTCACCATGTGTGGAGGGTAGGAGAAGGTTGTCATTGGATGCCTGCTTCTTTTCGTTGATTTGCAAAACACCCGAGAAATTATAGGGAACAAAGGAAAAAAGAGCCGTAAACACAAATGAATTCCTTTTATACAAGTTGAAGAGCCACGGGACACGCTCCATTTTTTTAACACTCCAGGTGTGATGGGAGATTACGTATCCACACAGGAGAGTAGAGAGTTAATTAAAATTTTTCACTCCTACTCCCGGAAAGCAACCTCTCTTCATTCAATAAGCAGGCTGGCTTTGGAGTGCTGTTTGTGCGTTTCTGTCCTCACTGGAGTGTCACAGAAAAAGCAGATCAAAGGGAACCTTCCCTCCATCTAGGGCTTCTATCATCTTTCTCTGCTAATGGACTCGAAAGCGTCTTCCAGGGACGGCATGGGGCTCATGTCCTATTTTAGAAATGCCGTCTTACTGTGTTGATGATGTGCCAGCCAGCTTTGATGGACGCCGTGGAAAACCACACGGAACGTTAATTACATCAAGACCAGCCCAGGTAGTAGGAGGAGTGGGAGAGTCTGGCGGAGTGTAACACCTCACCCCCTGCCATTTGTATTTTACTTTTCAACCCATCCTGTGACAGCCAGATATTAACACTTGAGAATGAATCCTCAGCTCTCACAGCAACCTTAGGCTTTGTTGTGTTTTCCCTTTTTCTTTTAGTCTTTATGATTCTGTGGCCTCTGGCTGATATCCCCTACCCGGAGGGGAAAAACTGTTTGGGAGAAATCCCACTGTCTTTCCCTTTAACATAGTGACAAAATGCAATAAAATAGAACAAAATAGAAGCAGCGCCTGCGAGGCCTGTCTGAGCAGGCGGGTGGGGCGTAGCAGAGGATGGCCACTGTCTCGCTGTCCGGGCTGCAGGCTGCGAAAACCCAGCCGGGCCACAGTCACCAGGAAAAGGACGCGGTTCTGCCATGCCCGGCTTTGTGAGGCGCCAGAGCTTGTCCTGGTTGCCATGGCTACTGTCTGATTGTGGCGGGTTTGTCACAGTGCTTGATAAAGTGGGAAGGTTATTCAAGTAATCATAACCTCGCAAAGCTAGGGAGAGTGGAATGAACATTTTCCCTCCTCTCCTGAAGTCGGGAGTGCAGGGCTGGGGGCAGGGGTTCTCAGGATGAAGCAGCCACAGCAGGTGCCCAGCATGAGGGATGCTGGCCGGTGCTGGTGTAGAAAGGAGGTCCCAAGATGTCCAGGGGACCAGGCAGAAGGAGGGGCGGTGCTGGGTCATTTGCTGCCATCTCTGGCCTGATTGGGGACAGGGCCAGAATAAGGTGCCTCTTATCCCTCTCCTGTAAATAAATAGGTTACACCTGTACCACTCCCTCCTTTCCTCCTCCCTCCTTCCCCTTGCTGCTCCCCCTCCTTTAGCTTCCTTTCTCCTTCCCCTGCCCCCCTTCTTTTCTCCCCATACTTCTCCCCTCCTTTCCCTTTGAACAGTGCTGGTCCTTTAGAAGTCCCTCTTCTCTTTCTCTCACAAGGATAGCGATGGGAAGGGAAGGTTTGAGCGACAGCCAGTGGATGCTGGCCTCCGCACCACGGCCTCTGTCGCCAGCAGAAACCTAATGGATTACCTAGGCAGAGCCGCTCAGCCTTCGCTGAGTCAGACTCCTGGGGGGACTCTGTTTAACACAGGTTCCCGGGCCCCACTCCCAGTGCCTGATCTGGTTGGTCTGGGTTGGGTCCCAAGACTCTGCATTTCTAACGAGTTCCCAGATATTGCTGAGGCTGCTGGCTCAGGGAGCATACTTTGAGAACCACTGACATGGGCCAAGACTTATTTGATACAGTTGAAGAAACTGCTCCCAAAGGTTAGTTGCCAGCTGACCAGGTGACTGGGTAGCCACACTGGGATGGGTGCTCAGGGATAGGAGCCTTCGAACCCATTTGGAGAGGCAGAGTTGGTTGTTCCCTCGTCTCTCCTCCAATCCTCTAGCCCAGGGCAGCTGGACAAGCTTGTCCTATTCCCACAAGGCCTTCAGCACCAGCCGGCCACTCACCACAATGGCCCCTCTGCACAGCGCCCCCCCCCAGTTAAACCCACCGTGGGTGGTCTAAGCCCAGCGTGATCTTTCATTTTACCTGCTGGAGTTCTCCCCGGAACGCCCTCTGCCCAACCCTGAGCGCAGGAAGCCTGCCTTGAGCAAGAGCTGCATCCTTCCTCTTCTGCTGGCCTCCGAAGCCTCGCCGCCCTGCCCACAGGCCATTTGTGTTTTGGTTTCTTGCATGTATGTGCTGTTGCTTCTGCTGGACTATGAATTGCAGCACCAGGACGTGCCTTCATCCACAGCTTCGAAATACTAGCTGATGAACCCGCATGGCTGCCTCAGTAGAAAGGAATCTGGATGCATGTTGAGATGCTCAAAAACCAACCTGACAGAGATGAGGAGTCCAGTGTAGACACAGGATTGCACTTCAGTGTTAGTGAGGAGCCTGGAATAAGAAATTAGGCCTGGCCCGGCCGGCATGGCTCAGTGGTTGAGCGCTGACCTATGAACCAGGAGGTCATGGTTCGATTCCCAGTCGAGACACATGCCCCTATTGCGGGCTCAATCCCCAATAGGGGTCGTGCAGGAGGCAGCCAATCAATGACTCGCTCATCATTGATGTTTCTATCTCTCTCTCCCTTCCTTCCTCTGAAATCAATAAAAATATTTTTTTAAAAAGAAAAATTAGGCCTGATGCAGGGAGAAAGCGAGATGCAGAACCTGTACAGTGTCCTCATGCTGGGGTTCTCTCCCTGTGGGAGCAGGACTGAGTTTTTAAATTCAAAGGCAAGTGTTGGGCAAGTGTTCCTGCCCCCCATGCCGATTTGAAATAAAACACAGGCAAGCATTCATTTACCCCCTTATGGCAGGCTGCATAACACAGGTGTGTGTGTGTGTGTGTGTGTGTGTGTGTGGCTGCTGGGGCTGGATGCGAAGGACTTGATCATTTGTCAGCTGTAACTTCGCTCCCCACGACTCTCTCTGAAATCACCCCAAGCAGCCTGTGTTGTCATATGCCCTGAACTTGTCTTTGTGGTGAGGAGATTCTGCTGTGTCCATGAAACGAGAATAAAACAAAATTAATGGATTAATCCTTGGGCTCTAATTCCTTGCCAGCTCCGCAGACTGAGGTGGGGCCAGGAGAGGTCCCACATTGGCGGTTTGACTCTGATCTCCTTAAGTATCATCAGAGCCAGGCCTCCAAGCTGGGGACACCCCACCTCTTTCTGCTTTGTTGAGCTGGCGGGCTGAACAGTCCCCTCTCGGTCTCCCGGGTGTCGACCTGAAGCAGCAGCATCCCTCACAGCGGCCTTTCTCCTTTAGGGCGTCGAGGTGCAGACAGATTACGTGCCCCTGCTGAACTCGCTGGCAGCCTATGGCTGGCAGCTCACCTGTGTGCTACCAACGCCTGTTGTCAAGACTAACAGGTAACAGAACAGCCATTATTAGTATTGAACACTCACTCTGTGCTAGGCACTGTTCCCAGTAAGCACTCCATGCACATAACTTGTTTAATCCTGCATCAAGCCTGTGAGGCTGGTGTGGCTACATCAGTTTCCAGCTGGGAAGTGGCAGAGCTAGGATTTCAGATTCCTATCCCACCCCCCCCCC